GACTATGAACTCCAGGCTCTGACTTGAGGATAGGGAAAGCCATGGCCCTGAGGAAAGTGGGTGAAGCTTCAATAACTGACCAAACCAACTGCAAAAGAGGAAGACTGTACCCCAGGGTGGAGAATCATGGTATCATGGTGGGAAAGGGTGGTCACAAAGGGTTGAGTGCCTCCCGGCAAACTGGGTGCTCACAGGGACACTGAGCTCACCTATTGACTATATTAAGAATTACTGGAGGTGCGTGTTTCAGCACCACATGTTCTAAAACTGCAATGGCACAGAGGTTAGTCTGGCTTTTGTGCATGGATGATACAGAAATTTTAGAAGTGCTCCATATTTTGTATCGGTCCCTATAAAGGATGATACAAAAACCAGCTGTGGGATTTGGAGAGGTTGCCCCAAGGCCCGTGCCTAGAAAGACAGAAATAAGGACGACTAGAAGAGGTGAGTCATGCACCCAAGTCTTTAAGGAATGGTTGAGTAACTGGGAAAGGGGGAGCAATCCAGATGGATATAATGAACCTCAAAAATGGGAAGGGTAACAAATAGCACGGAGAACACATATCCTCAACACCTGATCCTTGGGGATATTAGGTGAGAAACAAGAAGAAAACACTTGGGAAGCTTTCAAGTAATGGACACCCCTAGGGAAACATCAACATTAGGCACAGGGAATGGCTACAGAGGCTGAGGCACTGGAGGGGCTATGGAACACGGAGCACTCATCTCAGAGGAAATAGTACAGGTACTGTGGATGCTGGGAAACAAAGAACAGGGCACCTGCAGGCAGCACAGCATGACAGACACAGTAAGCAGAGAGTCAGAGTCTCTTTCCTGCTGCTGTGACAGAGCAACTGGGTTTAGAACCTTAAAAGGCAAAAAAGTTCATCTAGCAAAGGATTCTGGTGGCTAGAGGTTCAAACAGCAAGGCCCCAACCCGGCAAGATGCCCTGACTGTGTCATAGTAAGAGAGAAGTGGATGGGGAAGAGGCATATAAAAAAAGAGAGAAACAAGGTTTTTCATGACAGCCCTCTCTCACAACAACCAACCCAGTCCCAAAGAATAAAAAACATCCTTTTTCAAGAAATATAATATCCAGGGTTGGAGACAGGGCTTAGTAGTTAAAAGCAAGCATCTCAGCACACATAGAAAAACCCAAACCTGGTCTTGCACATGTGTGTAATCCCAGGGTGAGGTGGGAGGGCTTATAGGTTCTAAACCTGATTGGAAACCAAAAGATCCTGGTTCAGCAAGAGACCCTGCCTCAAAAGAAAAAGGCATGATAAAGGACATTTACGACATCCTTTTCTGGTCTTCACAGGTGTGTATGTGTGCGCGCGCGCACACAGACACCACCAACACTCACAGACAAACAAATATTCACACACATATACACCAAGAAGAAAAAAAGAAAAGAAATGCATTAATTCTTTTTAAAGGCCTCAACAGCCCTCAAAGGCATGATTTCCCACAGTGACACATCAGGAACCAAGCCTTGCCATCCTGATTAGGGTGGAGATAAACCATATTCAGCAACAGCACAGGGAGAGCTGGCTATGATAGCCAGTCTTCCATTGACTGCTGCTATAGCAAATTCACTGGTAAATATAAACCTGACGCATCAAAGGAGGCCATGATGCGGACGTCCTGAAGACGACACGGGTGAAAGTGGCATCACCATCTAACCTGAAACATCTGCTGTGGCTGAAAACACTCCATACTCATCCTCAGCACAACCTCAGACACAGACAACTTCACCACTGTTCCAGGACTCTGCACCAAAGGAGAGAGCGAACCAAAACACAGTGACAGGACTGTAGGGGCCCTGGGAGGTGGGCTGACTGTTTAAATGTTGTTTCAGGATGTGATGCTGTAACTCAGGGTGGCAGGAACCAGCTACTACGTGGTCAGCAGCTTCAACCAAAAAAGAAAAAAAAAAAAAACAAATCCAAACTATTACTAGTAAGTTTTTGACAACTTTACTTTGTACCAAATTATCAATTGACACATTAGTATCAATTTTCTTGTTGCATCAACTTGCATCAATTATCTTACTTAAACCTCACATCTAAAAGATATGTTAAACTTTATTATTACCATTTTTTAAAAAAAAAGCAAGGTATAGGGAGGAAGGCTTAGGCAAAGAGAAGAATACTTTGTTCATATGTCCCAAAGCAATCAAGTGACATCACAACTTTTGGCAAGACTGAAAAGTTTTATGTGGCATGAAGATGTTGATGTCACAGGCAAGATGGCTCAGCAAGAAAAGAAGCTTGCAACCAAATCGATGACCTGAGTTCAAGACCCAGGATTCACAGGATAAAAAAGGAAAGAACTGACTCACCCTACACCAGCAGTTCTCAACCTGTGAGCAGCAAACAACCCTTTCACAGGGCTTGTCTAAGACCATTGGAAAACACAGACATTTACATTATGATTCCTAACAATAGTAAATTTAGTTATGAAGTAGCAGCGAAAATAATTTTATGTTGTGGGGGTCACCACAGCATGAGGAACTATATTAAAGGATCGCAGTACCAGGAAAGTTGAGAACCACTGGTCTACACTATCTGCTGTCAAATACATATGCCAGGTGAATAAATGTAATTAAAAAAATTTTCAAGGATGCTGATTACAGCATCACAGAAAGCAAAGAGAATCCTCAAGTATATCTTAAGAATTAATTTATGGGGGCCGAAGAAATGGCTCAGCGGTTAAGATCAAGTACTGAACCTCAAGCTCAACTCCCAGCACCCACATTGGGTGGTTTACAACTGCCTATAGCTCGCTCTAGGGGTCCTGACACCCTCTTCTGGCCTCTGCAGGCAACCCCTGCCTGCCAACACGGTGTGCACTCACACAGACACAGATATGAATATGTTTTTAAAAATATGCAGATTCTCATAGACAAGGACCCAGTGCAAGGACTCTGAATACATACCATAACCACCAGCAACACCCACGAGGTGCCCACATGGCTCTAAACGCTCTCCTGATAGGAAACATCACTGAATCTTCAAAAGCACTTAAGAAACCAGCATTGTCATCTCCACTGTCTTGTATTTTTGATTTTTACTCTGTGTGATATACATGTGTGTATGCACATGCATGTGCAGATGTGTACAGTGATGCATGCACATACACATGCACAGCCCTGAGGTTGGTGTTAGGTGTCTTCCCCTATCACTTCCCATGTTTTGAGACAGGGTTTCTCACTGAACCTGGAACTTGCCAACCTGGCTAGACTAGCTGGTCAGTAAGCTCCAGGGATCCCTTTGTCTCCACCTCCCCCGGCTGGGGTCACATGCACGCCATGCCCAGTTTTTTAATGGATGGTGGAGACGTGGACTCAGGTTCTCATGCTTGCACAGCAAGTATTTCCCCAATTAAGCTATCTCCCCAACCCTACCAACCCTACTTCAGAAACAAGAAAACTAAAGCAAAAAAAAAAACAAAAAACAAACAAAAAACAAACAAAAAAAAAACCCAAAACCTTAGGGGGCTGATGAGACGGTCAGTGGGTAAGAACACTTTTTGGACAAGCATGAGGACCTGAGTTGGGTCCCCAGCAACCCATTAAAAGGGGGTATGACTGCACACATCAGTATTCCCGGGGCACCGGGGAAGAGGGGATTGTTGAGATTGCTAAGGTCTAGCTGAAAAGGTGAGTCTTGGGTTCAGTGAGAGATCCTGCCTTAAGAGAACAAGGCAGGGTGACATAGCAGGACACCCAACATCCCCCTCCAGCATCCACAGGTATATACACCTACACACACACACGTGTGTGCACATACACCACAAACACACACACATTTTTTTTTTTAAGTTGAGAGCAAGTTTATACAGCTCGGACAAAGTCTGGCCCCAGAATTGTTGCTTTAAATCCCTAGGCTTAGACTTCACTCAAAAGCTTGTATTCGGGCTGGAGAGATGGCTCAGAGGTTAAGAGCATTGCCTGCTCTTCCAAAGGTCCTGAGTTCAACTCCCAGCAACCACATGGTGGCTCACAACCATCTGTAATGAGGTCTGGTGCCCTCTTCTGGCCTGCAGGCACACAGAATATTGTATACATAATAAATAAATAAATAAATAAATAAAGCTTGTTTTCCCCACACTGTAATAGTCTCTGGCCCCCAACACACTCCTCTTATTCCAGGGTATTGTCCTAATTCTAAAGCCCCCACTCCTCCCTTGTTCTAAGCATTGTCCTACTCCCTTCTTTCCGTCTTTTCTTGCCAGTTTAAACATCCCTGTAAAAATTCCAAACCCTAAAGACACTGCTGACTCTCTAAGAGCCCAGCACTAAAGGATGAGCTTACTGTTCCTCCCAACTGGGCTGTGAGTCTAGTAGGTCCACGCCACGTCTGTTTTGCTCCACCAGTATTCGCAATCACTGAAATCCTGCCAACTAGCACAATGTAATGTCTCAATAACTTTGTTGCGAGAAAAAAAAAATGAATGAATGACATGCAAGCTTTGTGTTTTCTCTAGGTACACCTGCACTGGCAATGCCCCACCACCATCTGCTACCACTCCACAAATACGGTAGTCTGTGTGTTGTTCTGACTCTACAAACAAACACTGCGGGGGCCCAGGACCTACCACCTACACCTCTGAGGACTGAGTTCCAAGAGCACAGGAATCATGCCCAATTTTAATAGGATGCAACCTACAAAGCAAGAAAACTTGCATTTCCAACCCATCAAAGCTGTAGTTAATACTTGCAACATACCCCGTCTTACCTGAAGGCCAAGATCAAGTAAGCTTTGTTCAGCTCCTTACTCCCAGTCCTGGTACCCCAGGTTCACAAACACTTGGTCAGTATGACTTAAATGAACCCCTCCCTGCTCCATGCACTTCCCAGGCGTGAAGGGAGGTCCGCTCCAGGTGGGTGCGGCAGCTTCTCCCCAGTGTCCAAGCGTGTGCTTTGGACAGCGGCCCGCCTGCCACCTAGGCCCCGGATCCCGGCGCCCATCTCGAGCCCCACGCCCCCACGCACCTCTTGCAAAGAGAAGCATCTTCGCAGGTGCCGCGCACTCCCTCGTCATCCAGGTCAGAGTTCGAAGCGCAGGAAGAGAACGAGGACTCCCTCGAGCTAGTGGCCATGTTCGTGGGATGTTCTGGGGTTCGGCACCCACCAGGGACATGGAAACGGGGGCGACGAGCAGTGGGAGACGCGACAAAAAACACAGACACAGACCAGAGCCGCAGGACTACTGCTCGCTAGGCGGGCGCAGCCCAGTGACGCCGCCCCCGCGGGCCGCCCAGCCACCTTCCTGCTGATTGGTGCCTGGGTCATGACGTTTATTAGACCAAGCTACTCGTCCAGTCAGACCACGGAACGGTCCATTGGAAGGCTCTTTAAGCTCCGCCCCAAAACACCGGAAGTTTCTTAAAGTAACCCCGAGAGGCTGGGAAAGCCGCGATGCTTTCTGGGATATGTAGTCTTAGGTGCTCTGGGGTATGTCATGATGGATCTCTATAAAACACCTTCTAAATAAAATTAAAGGATTTACGTTTCATTTTTGTCTGTTGTTAGGGAGTGAGTAAAGGATAAACTCTAGTTTTATGAAGTTTGAATCATGCCTATAAAAGATGTGTGAAGATAGGGCAGTGATGAACACTTGCCCATCCTTTCCAAGGTTTTGGGTAAGACCAGAAGCGTGCACACACACACACACACACACATACACACACACACACACACACACACACACACACACACACACACACACACACACGCACATGCACTCAGTCATCATGGTTCACACCTCTAGTCCCAGCTTCTTGGGAAGCTTGGGCAAAAGGACCCCTTGAGCCTCGTGTTGGAGGTCAGCTTGGATAATATAGCAAGACTCCATTTCAACTTTTAAAAAATTGTAGATGGTTTCTCCTATAACCCAGCCTGACTTTTAACACACTGTGTAGACAAAAACGACCTTGAATTTCTAATCCACCCACCTCTGTTTCTCCAGTACTGGGATTGCAGGTATGCGTCAGCACATACAATTTGTAAACTGTTGAGTCTCAAACCCAGAGCTTCGTGCATTCTAGACAAACATTGTACCAACTGAACTACATCCTGACTCAGTCTGTCAAAAAGGAAACTAATAAATCAATATATGTGTTCATATCTTTGGTTCTACTTATTATTTACTAGAGGCACAGGTAATCACTGATCACTTCCAGGGAAAATGGCAATAGGAACAACTGGAGTTCTGAAATGTTGTAGGAGATAATCCTGAGGTGCCATGACAAAGTACCCTGACGAAAGCATCTTAAAGGACAAACACTTTATTTTGTCTTAGACTTTGTTTCAGCCACTGTTCTGCTGCTGGGAAGGGAAACCACAACCAAGACAGCTTACAAAAGAAAGCATTTAATTAGGGACTTGCTCATATTTTCAGAGGATGAGTTCATGGTGGTGAGCATCAAGGTGGTGGGCGAGTGAGAATGTAGGCAGGCATGTGCTGGGGCAGTAGGAAAGCTTACATCTCATCTGAAAGATGGAAAGACAGAGAGAGATGGAAAGACAGAGAGAGAGAGAGAGAGAGAGAGAGAGAGAGAGAGAGACTCTATGAAGGGGAGGGAGAGGGGAGGAAGAAGGGATGTAAAGCAAGTGAGTGACTGGGAGTGACTGGACCTGCTATGGGCCTTTGAAACCTCAAAGCCTACCTCCAGTAACACATCTCCTGCAACAAGGCTTCACTTCCTAATCCTTTCTAAAACAGTTCCACCAGTTAGGGACCAAGCATTCAAATATATGAGCCTATAGGGGTCATTCTTATTCAGACTATCACACAATCCCAGAGGAATAAATGGCAGGGAAGACATGGGAGTGGGGCAGGAGGCTTACTGGTCACACAGAATTCGCAGTCAGGAAGCAGAGAGCAGTGGATGCCTGCTGTGGCTCAGCCCCCATTCTCTATTTACATAACCCAGGATCCAGTCAGAGAATAGTGCAACCCATGGTGTGTAGGTCTTTCTCACTTAAATAATATCAAGAGACTCATCTACAGACATTCCCAGAAGCCTGTCTCCCAAAAAATTCTAGATTATGTCAAGTAACATTTAACACTAACCACCTTAGGGAGCAAACACACCTTTTCCTGAAGTGGTTCCATGCAAAGCACATCACAGGCTTAGTGTCCAAGCTTGGCAGTGTCTATCACTTCTGGTGTCAGTAGGTAAGTAAGAAATACATCGACAGCAAGTTTTTTGGGATAGCGGTCCCATACAGTCTAGATTTGAAGGGCCTCTTTGAATGGCCCTTCAGTCACAATTTGCTTTCACCTTGAAAGGGAAAGGATACCCCAGGGTACCTGAACAACCCTGCCACTACACACAATCTTTGTTGGGATGACCCTAACACCTCTGTCTTTCTCCAAGAGTACAGGACTGATGTGGGATTCCCATCTGTGTGCTGTGAATACCACTGGTTAATAAAGGAGCTGTTTTGAGCCTGTGATAGGGTAGAGCAGAGCTAGGCAGGGAAAACTAAACTGAATGCTGGGAGAAAGGAAGCAGAGTCAGAGGGAAGCCATATGGAGCCATCACCAGAGACAGACATGCTGGAACCTTGCCGGTAATCCACGAGCATCGTGGTAAAATACAAAATAATGGAAATGGGTTAAATTAAGATGTAAAAGTTAGCCAATAATAAGTTAGAGCTAATAGGCCAAGCAGTGATTTAATTAATACAGTTTCTGTGTGGTTATTTCTAGAGTCTGGGCAGCCGGGAAACAAACAAGCCTCCTCCTACAACAAATTAGTGCTCCAATGTGGTTGACTATATCCATGTTAAACCTGAGAACACTTAGAAGGGAACTCTAGACACACAAAAAAGTTTAACTGCATTTTTTCCAGCTGGCAGCTCCTTTAAGAGAGGTCTTCCTGATTCAGGGGTAGCAGAAAAAAAACAAAAACACTTGATTTCAAAACAGCAGCTTCCTGGTTTGCCAGCATGAAAGGCTCTGGCTTTTTTGGGAGGTTTGGTTATGGAGCACTTGAATGGGTTTTGTGGGCCCAGGTGCTTGTATGACTGCTTGGGAAAGTAGCTGAGACCATGCCTGCAGCTAATCACCCCTGCCTAGTCAGGTGGCAGGATCAGGTCTGCTAGGAGTGCACAGGCAGGAGAGCATGGCAGATTCCTGCCACAATACACAGAGATATTTCCAGGCCATGCAATGCTCTGCATGGTATATTTAGCTATTACTCACATAAAAAGGGTTTATATGCTATATGGTGCTACCCAGAGTTGAGGTGGTGAGGATGGCTCCCAAACACCAGTCTTAGAACCTGTGGTGGACTACCTCCAACATATTTAAAGCCTAAGAGAGGTGAAGCCAGCACCCAGGGCCCTGAGACCAAGCTGCTTAGCATTTTAAAAAGTAGTCTTAGACAGAAAAGGATTACTGATACACAATAAAGACAGATTCAGATAAAAAAGATAAATGGGTCACAGTGTTGGATAAATGTACATAGGCTTGGGAGAGAAAAGAAAAAAAGTATAAAGAAAAAAAGGAAGTAAATGGTTTTAAAAAATAAAACAAAGTCTTTAAAGAAACAGTACAGATAGTCATAGATTAAAGGAGTAAAGATAATAAAATAAACATTATATGTGTAGAAAAATAATAGAGTAAAAACAAGTCACATAAAGATGAAATATACACAGAGAGTCTGGATTGTGTATAGTATTATGTTTTCTTTGAATTTTTTGATTGCGAAGGAGCTAAGTACATCGAGACATTTCATTGTACGGGCTGCTAAGCTAAACCAGCATAAAGGTATCTTGACTTCAAAATTGGGTCTAAGGATATGTTGCTTTGGAAAAGAGGTTCTCCTTTTGTTTCCACAGAGGATGAGAACCTGTGGAATCCTTCCAGACTAAGGTGGTTTGATGGACCAAGACCCTGGAAAGGTCACCATGAACACCCCCAAAAAATTACTTTGCCCAATAAACAGCAGGAGCAGTTTGGAGAGAACTACATCCATATTCCTAAATATTGCTTATAAATGTTTGTTTGCATTTAAAGGGGGATATGCTATAGAGATTTGCATTGGTATGGATCTTGCTTTAAGGATACAAATTTAAAGTCAATTTTGTTATACGCATATTTTTTGCTCTTGATTAACATACTGTGTTTGTGCAGCTCATTAAAAAATGTAATATATATTTAAGAAATATAAGTTAATAGAAAATCATTTATAATAGTTAAGCTTGTAGCCATGTTAGTTAGGTTTTCTAGATATATGGAGATTTATTTACATAGGTATTCTTCAAAACTTTCAGATACCTTCAGAACATGGCATTTAAATGTTTTAAGAAGTCAGGACTTTTCATGACATTGAGACACATCTGCTCCTGGCAGCACCAAGCTACTCAAGAGTAAGATGGACACTGTGTGAACTGGACATGCAGTTCCCACAGAGAAATGACTGCTGAACTTACCTGAAGGTGAGACGGCACTTTGGGGTTCCTGCTTCATGAAAAAGTCTGCCAGATTGGGAATGGTGAGGGAGAAGGAGAGGGAGTTGGGGGAGCGGGAGGGTATTGGGAGGAGGGGAGGAAGTGGAAATTCTTTAAATAAATAAATAAGGAAAAAAAAAGTCTGCCAGACATTCTGTAGGACTCAGAAGAAAGTGACTGAAAACTGCCAATATAGGTGGAACTGTCTTTGAAATTTCCTGCTTCATTGAATAGTCTGCCAGATACTATTGGCCTATGGGCTAAAGATTAGATGCTCCAATGATACAAAAGAACTTTGGGTGACTGTCCAGGCAGCGAGATGTCTCTGTCAATTCTAGAGTTTTGGAAGTTGCTTATGATGCACTTCCAGTTTACTTAGGTGATATTGTGTCCTTCTGGAGTCTTTGATGGGGTTGAAGAATTTATAGTTATAGTTTTCTTTAGTTATGATAAAAGATAGATATATGCTGTGGGAGTTCCTTCCACTCCTTCAGCCAATCGCCGCTGAGTTACCAGCCCATTGGGGCGTGGTCTCTCTCTCTTTAAAAAAAGCAGCTGCTGTCCTCCACTCTCTCTTTGGCTTCTGGCTCCGTTTCCTGGTCTCCTTTCCTGTTTGCACGGAGGGGCTGTTGTCTGGGATGGTAATCTGTAAGTTTTTTCCCCTTTGAATAAATAACCATTCTATTAATCATAATTCCAAACTGGTGTGGGATTGTCTGTGACTTACGCCTTCAGATATAAATATTGTAACTAAAATTCTTGTGTCCCACGCTATCGTCTCGCCAGC